CCAGATTCCTTCCTTTAGGGAAGAAATCCATGCTCCAGGTCCTGCAGTGACAGCCCCTGCCCTGCCTTATGTCAGCTCTGACATGTTTCTTATTACAAAAACCACCCTCAGATTCACATTCTAAAACTTCTCTAGATGTCTGCTCTTCATCCCACAGTGAAACACTGGCTGGTGTTTGAAATAATCTCATCACTCTCAAAAATAACTTCTGAAAATCTCACTTGAAGCAGAACTTTTCCATAGGTTTGGCAGGATTTCCATTTTTTTGTAAAGTATATTTTATTGATTATGCTATTACAGTTGTCCCATTTTTTTCTCCCCTTTATTCCCCTCCTCCCTGCAACTCCCCCCACTAGCAGTCTCCACCCTTTAGTTCATGTCCAAGGGTTGTATATATAAGTTCTTTCGCTTCTCTATTTCCTATACTATTCTTAGCCTCCCCCTGTCTATTTTGTACATGCCATTTATGCTTCTTATTCCCTGTACCTTTTCCCCCATTTTCTCCCCCTCTCCCTCCCCACTGATAACCCTCCATGTGATCTCCATTTCTGTGATTCTGTTCCTGTTCTAGTTGTTTGCTTAGTTGGTTTTTGTATGTGTTTAGGTTCAGTTGTTGATAGTTGTGAGTTTGTTGTCATTTTTCTGTTCAGAGTTTTGATCTTCTTTATCTTAGATAAGTCTCTTTAACATTTCATATAATAAGGGATTAGTGATGATGAACTCCTTGAAGTTTACCTTATCTGGGAAGCACTATATCTGCCTTTCCATTCTAAATGATAGCTTTGCTGGATAGAGCAATCTTGGATGTAGGTCCTTGCCTTTCATGACTTTGAATACTCCTTTACAACCCCTTCTTGCCTGTAAGGTTTCTTTTGAAAAATCAGCTGATAGTCTTATGGGAACTCCTTTGTGGGTAACCATCTCCTTTTCTCTTGCTGCTTTTAAGATTCTTTCCTTATCTTTAATCTTGGGGAATGTAATTATGATGTACCTTGGTATGCACTTCCTTGGATCTGACTTCTTTGGGACTCTCTGAGCTTCCTGGACTTGCTGGAAGTCTATTCCCTTTGCCAGATTGGGGAAGTTCTTCTTCATTATTTTTTCAAATATGTTTTCAGTTTCTTGCTCTTCCTCTTCTCCTTCTGGCACCCCTATGATTCAGACGTTGGAACTTTTAAAGGTGTCCTAGAGGTTCCTAATCCTCTCTTCATTTTTTTTGAATTCTTGTTTCTTCATTCTGTTCTGGTTGAATGTTTATTTCTTCCTTCTGCTCCAAATTATTGATTTGAGTCCAGGTTTCCTTCTATTCACTGTTTGTTCCGTGTATATTTTTCTTTAATTCACTTTGCATAGTCTTCACTTTTTCCTGTATTTTGCTACCATATTCAACCATTTCTGTGAGCATCCTGATTACCAGTGTTTTGAACTGTGCATCTGATAGGTTGGCTACCTCTTCATTTCTTAGTTCTATTTTTGGAGTTATGCTCTGTTCTTTCATTTGGGTCATATTTCTTTGTCTCAGCGCTCCTGTTATGTTGTAAGGGGTGGAGGCTTAGGTATTCACCAGGGTGGGGCAACTCATGTTGCTGCATTATGGTGCTCTATGTGGGGGAGGGGTCAGAGAGGGAACGATGCTGCTTGCTCAGCTCTTGGCCAGCTTTCAGTCACTTCCCCCGCTTCCTACAAGTAAAATGGGTCCTTCTGGTGCTAATTCCTGGGAGGGTGGGTTTGTGTACATTCTAGGACCCTGTGGTTCTCTCCAGCAAGCTCTCCTGTGAGGCTGGGAGTTTCTCCCACCACTGCAACCCCCACAGGTTTTTACAGCCAGAGGTTTTGAGGCTTTCTTTTCCCATGCTGGAACCCTGGGTTGCACAGTCTGAATCACTTTCTTGTTCTCCCGGTCTGTCCACATGCAATTGTGGGACCACCAGCTGCCAACTCGCCTGCCCAGTCCTCCAGGTCCCGGCTTATTACGTGTTCTATCCCCTTGGCTGTCTCCGCCCCTCCTACTGGTCTGGATGAATGCTTTTTCTTTAACTCCTTGGTTGTTAGACTTCCATACAGTTCAGTTTTCTGGAAGTTCTGGTGTTGTTTTTGTTTTTAAATTTGTTGTTGTCCTTTGGTTGTGTGGGGAGGCAAAATGTATCTACCTATACCTCTTGGCCGGATGTCTGGCAGGATTTCCATTTTAATATAAGATAAATGCAGCATTTCCTCAAGGTTTGGACACAACCAAAACAAGGGACAAGACCCCTGCATGGCCTAAACCAGAGGGTGCACAGGCAAATCACTATTTTAATCTTACTCATTTTATTAGACTCTCATAGTTTCCCCCTACTTTTTCTCTATTGCATCCATAATCAGCTGCCCAAGTTATTGTCCAGGATTCAGGGTGGGAGGGGGAATTTTTGTATAGACAAAAGCTGAGAAATACAAATTCACAATTTAAATATCAAGCTTCTACACTGCAACATTTAAATAAGATCCATTCAATTTACAGTCAGCTTTTTTTTTTAAAGGATTTTGTTTTGAACATATATTTTGGATTCTTGTTCTGGACTGAAAATGGATTTCCCAGAATCAGTGCAAGCATGTACACGCTGGTGATGCCCCCTGCTGCTGTCAGGTGTTCGGTCCGTGGCAAAGTGAAGCTAACAGATGCATTCCAGAAATAAACCAGAAATCCTGACCTCAAAACCACAGCCACCTAATGAAATACTCTTAAACATTCAACTCTCAGATTGTTTCCTTCCCCTTAAACATTCTTTTGTGTGGACCCAGAATGACAGAAGAGTAAATAAAGAATACAATGGCAAAATCACCACACCTGCTAACATAATTTTCTCCTGGATATATTCATGCCCTGTCGGTGAAATGGAGCTGAGGAAGGATGGTGGGAGAGCCTGGGATCTGCCCCACTGCCGTTGAATGTAACCACTATTTATTTCTGTGAGTTCTACACCTAGTTATCAAAGAATAATAACTCACACCCCCTCTATCCTTTCTTTATTGCCCTTATAGACCTGCCTTTATGAAGCCTAACATGTTCACTCTTTGCTGCATGCCAATATCTCTAATTTTCCACTGGCATTTAAAGTGTTCCTTCAATATATGTTTATTACTACTTGACACCTGAAATCCTGTCAATACAGATTCAAAATAAACTAAAAATACAAAGTATAAATCAATTCACCTAAAGTTATGGAATAGGTTAAAAGGATAGTCAAATCTAGACTAATCTTTTCCTTTGTCCCACAAACAATCCAGAAAGAACCTTTTAAAATATGAAATCTTTAAGCAAGAAACTGCAGTGGCTTCCTGAGAGGCAGGGGTAGAGGTGAGAATATGAGAAGAGAAAGATCGCCTGAGAGAAAGGGACAGGAAAGACTGTTTTAGGATTGCTTTTTTTTTCACAGTTTTGATTCTAAATATAAACATTTTTGGTCTCAGGACTGAAAAAAGGGGTAGCTGTTGCCAGGACAGTTTTCTAGTCCTGTGTGGGATTGGGATATTAGAGCTTTCAACATTAAAAAAAGACCTTTTCCTTCCAAGCCAGTTCCAAAAAAGCTTCCATGGTTACTGTTGGAAAGATAAGTTCCAGACACCCAGAAATCCCAACTCACAGAAGAAGGTTGAAATGCAAAACAAAATTTAAAAAAATGATGGATAGAGAACTGGATTTCCCTTATACCACACCAGCTGGGAGCAAAGAGGGGCCAGTGCTTTTAATTTAACCCTTTGCAATCCCTGAAAAGGACAAAGCACCTAAGTGTCCAATACTCCTCACACCCCAGAAACCCTACTGGCTTTAGTTACTGTTTCAAAGCAAAAAACAAAAAGGAGGCTATTATTTGGGACGGACATTATTAATAGGTGTCACAAAGGGGATATAACGATACCAGAACACCCAATTCTGAGCATTTCAGAATGACCTGAGGAAGCTATGAGATGACCACCAAATGGCCTTATCACAGTATTTCTTCCTTCCTTCCTTCCTTCCTTCCTTCCTTCTTTCCTCATTCCTGCCCTCCCTCCCTCCTTCCCTTCTCTCTTCCTTTCTCTCTCTTTCTTTCTTTCTTTCTTTCTTTCTTTCTTTCTTTCTTTCTTTCTTTCTTTCTTTCTTTCTTTCTTTCTTTCTTTCTTTCTTTCTTTCTTTCTTTCTTTTCTTTCTTTCTTTCTTCCTTCCTTCCTCCCTCCCTCCCTCCCTCCCTCCTTCCTTCCTTTCTTTCTTTCTTTCTTTCTTTCTTTCTTTCTTTCTTTCTTTCTTTCTTTCTTTCTTTTTCCTCTCAGAGGACATGCTTATTGATTTTGGAAGAAAGAGGAAGAGAAACATTGATGGGAGAGAGAAGCATTGATTGGTTACCTCTCACACATGTTCTGGCCAGGGACTGAACCCGTGACCCAGACATGTGCCCTGACTGGAACTGAACACATCATCTTTCTGTTTACAGGATGACATTAGCCACAGCAAGTGAGACACACTGGCTAGGGCACAGACTTACTTTCTTAATAAGCAGAAAGCAAACTCAGGATACATACAGGTCTTCCTTCCTGTGGCTCCTGACTTCCTGGCTGATGTGTGATGTCATCTAATCTCTGATCTATAGTCATCTGAGGAGCCCATTTTTAAAACCTACCTACTCTTGAAGACTCAGAATTCAAGGACTCTACCTCAGTCCGCTAAGAGCCAACTCCATGGTCTTTCAGGAACCAAAATACCAAGGGTCCAAAGCACACCAACAAAAACCTTCTCAATGAAGTTATCCCCAGACAGAGAGTAAAACAGAGAACCTCTACTTGGCACTGGAAGTAAGAGGGATGAAGGAATAAACAAGGCAGATTGTGAATTTGTGGGTCTTTAAATGTACCCTTAAGCTACTGTCAACTCCACCTTCCCAGACCCTGGAGCAGCCCCCTGGCCAGGGAGCAGCCCTTTCCACGGGCCCCCCAGCACTCTCCATGACTGTCCCCTTCCCAGCACTCCCCTCCACCATCTCTACCTCAATGGTGTACTGCTCAAAGATGCGCAGCTGCAGAAAGATGTCCAGCTTGATCTTCCGCTCATGGAAGAGCTCTTCCATCTGCACCTGGGCGTCGTCCAGCTGCTGCAGGACTGACTCAATGTGGCTAATGGAGCTACTGTGGGGTGTCTTGTTGTTGGACACAGCTGAGTCCCTGTGGCAGAGTGGGAGAAAAGAAGGGAGGGGCCTTGCCATGTTAAAAGTGATAGAGGAGCAGGGGGCCTTCCTCTTCTGAACAAGGTGAATGTGAATTAGTTGAGTCACTCAATTGACAGACATTTATCAAAGTCCTACTGTGAGCCAGGCACTATCTGCTTAGTGGGTGAACCAGAGATATATGTATTCTCTTTGGGGTTCACAGTACAGTAGCTCCAAGACTAGCTGCTCTCCTGTTCCTTAGATAGAATTGTGAAAAGGATCAAATGAAATAATGTATAAGAAAGGGCTCTACAAAGCATAAAATATTTGGAATGATTCCATGCAGATATGTAGTCTAATATGTAGAGTTTTAATACACACATACACATGCATAAAAGTAGACACATTAAACACAATGTGTAAGAATAAACAAATTAAAGACATATAATAAGAAACTCTTCCTAGTTTTACTTCACAGGATTGTTGTTAAAATAATGTAAGGTCATGGTACCAAAATTATTCATCCACTTTATAATGCTATGCTGAAGTTATAGGCTAGTGAGATTACACAGGCTTCAAGCTGTAGTTAGAAAATCATGGGACCTGGAGGCTACAAGCCTGGATTAAGTCCCCACTCTGATGCACATGGGTTAATAGCCCTGTGAAATGACCTCTCTGAGCCCCAGTTGCCTCCTGTAAAGTGGACTTAAGAATCCCTGCCCTGATCACTTCAGTTTGCTGTTAAATAAGACAGTATGTGTGAATGTGCTCTGTGACCAGGAATGTGACACATGAATGATTATTAATCTTGAAAGGACACAAGAAAAATATCAAGTGCTGATTGGGGCATAGGCCCAATTGTGGAGAGTAGAGGGTAGGGCACAAGAGTCTGGGAAAGCAACAAGGTTTCAGAGAAGACAATTTCTGATTTGGGCATTAGAAGAAAAGGATGAATCCAGCCAGGAAGATAGCAGGAGGGGCAGTGGGGGAGAGTATGCTTTCTGAGCGGTGAGAGTCTATACCAAAGTCCCAGGGGGAGGTGACACACTGTAGAGGGAACCAAGAGATAAACATATTGACCTGTTCAGAAGTGAGGTGGTGGTGAGACTTACAAAGAGATCATTATAATAGGAAAACTGGAGATTAAGAGTTAACATTCTACAGGGTCTTCAATAAGCTAGAGCCCTAAAACTTGAATTAAATGGGCACACTCACTATCTTGTGACATCTTGCTTTCTTTTACAATTTAAGATGTCAGAGGGCAAGGTGGGAATCATTAGTTTTGAATCCTCACATCAGCAAGCTTTCAGAAAACCAGTCCTTATAGCCTGTATTTATCTCAGAAGCAATGGTATCTGAGCTTGAACAGTTTCTGAAGAGAGTATAAGGTCAGTTTGTCAAGAGCATCTCCTTCTATCATTCAGACAGCTCTCAATTCTGCCTCATAACCCTGGCCTATTTGGGCATGAAACCCCACCATCGCATGGACACCCCGATCATGAAGGCATGCAAAAGATGTAGTCAATACTATGCATTACGCATTTGTTGAGGACTTTGCTTTTGGGAGGATATAATTGTTTTTCTGACAGCTTCTCTCAATCTTTCTCCATCACGCATCTTCCAGAAGGAAGAGAATAATTTCAGGCCATTTTTCACAGCACCAATATCAGTGTCACACTCACTAGGAGTCACAGAGATGATGGGAAGCCAGACCTAGAGAAGACGTGCGCCCCAGTGTGTGTGAGGCACCCTGCCAAGGCCCCCTGGGAGCATTTACTTCTTTTTATCTTTGACTGGTCTTGATATCAGGGAGGAGAGCACAGGCTAGAGTCAGGCTAGTGGGGAGACAAATGGTCATCAGTGGGTCTTGGTCACAGACTTATGGTCCTCTCTGAAATCCATGGAACTTAAACTTGTGGAACTGGCATCAGCCACATCACTGCATTCACCATCTCTGAGCAGCCTTCTGCCTTTGAGCATTGTGCAAGGCTGGCAGTTGTTAAGGGCAAGAGGCCTCTCCATAGACCCCGACCCACAGACTTGTGAAAAGTATCTGGAGAGAAAACACACAGCCATCACAAAATACCAGAGCTGACCCATCTCTTAAAGTGAGTCCCTAGTAAATTACACAGGTGAAGCAGCTGAGACCCAGAGAGGTTAAGCGACTACCTACTATATGGAATTTCATTTAGTAAAAAAATAATAGTGGAGTTTTCTAGGTAGGCAGACAAAATTGTCATGTGTTATTTATTTATGAAGATGAATCAGGGGACCACAGGAAAGGGGTTGTCTTGTTAGTATGCAACAGGAAGATTCAGAACATCTCATGTGCATATTTAGAATAGAAATAATTAATTTTCAACCAAAGAACATGCCTGGGCCATTGAAAGGTAAGTTCTCATTGTTTATTTAATTAGAACTGATATGGGGGAAGAAGCCTTCTCAATTGAAGTAATTCCCTCAGGCCCCAGGGCTGGCCGGGGACTTGCTGATGAGATTATTTCTGTCCAGAGCTGGCAGAGGTCCCAACACAGTGATTTTGGGATAGGAACAAGTCCCTGTGTGCAGGCATCATTAGCACCATCAAATCCTATTTAGACAGCACCTGGGCACAGGGCTGGCTGCTGGGAGCTTGCTCAAGACCTCGTGAGACTTTATCTGAGGAGTCAGTACCCTTGACAGGAACAGAAAACTGGGTATTAATGCCAACAGAAAGGAGGCAATGGTGTGGATGATTCTAGATGAATATAAGGTTTTAGACACGAATTCCCTCACTCGTTGTTTGTTTATGGTGGTGCAGAAGGATTTTCATTTTCTGGGCAGCAAGGAATGGTAGAAAGGTCATAAGTGGGTAATGAAGAACACAGTGGGACAACATCACACATTTTACATTCTCATGGGCCATAGCCAACCATTTTTGGTCACATTTGCCAACTGGGGTGATGGACTTTGGAGTTCAGCCTGAGATCAGATGCCAAAGAACACTATACTCCACAATGGCCTTTCTCCATATGACTAAATATGCCATAATTCTTAATGAAGATGTTATTTATTTTTCTGTTCATTGTTCATTTTTGTTATAATTATGTTATTTATTAACTGCTGAATAACATCATGAAGGATAAATAATGCTTTGGAACATTGGAACTTTTCTATTTACTTTTACATGTTAAACTCAAGCTGAATATGGTGCAGGCATTTTTATAACCGACAGATGGAGAAACTGAAGATCACACAAGACCACAAAACTGGCTGTGGCTGAGCCAAGACCAGGACATGACTTATCTCGCGTCCAGTCCGAGGCATTTCACACTGGAAAGCACTGCCCATGCTGACCTGGCCTCGCTGGGCTCCCCCAGGGAGGGAGGCGCTGACCTGAGCTGCTGGATAAGGTCTTCGCCTTCCTTGATGACGTTGAGCGTGGCGTCCAGAGTGGCAGTCTGCTGCTGCTGGAACTGCTTGATTAGTTCCTGGACCGCATCCACTGAGTCTGCACAGACATCTTCCAGCATCTCCTTCTGAAGGTCTTCCATCCATGTCCACAACTGTGGGGAGAGAGCAGAGACTCCACTCAGGGCAGACAAGTGAGACCAGTGCTGGGGCAAGGGCAAGAAAGATGGGCTAGGGTTCATACAACCTACCTTCAACCAGTCTGTGCAATGTCAGATTAGCCTTCTCATCAGCACACTAATGGGTCACGTAGAAACAGTTTGTGTTTCTACGTTTATATTCATTATCCATCTTTGCTAATTTTATTCCATTAGGGTTGCATTCCCTAAGGATAGTTTCCTTGAGGTTCAGAGAAACTTGTAATCTTAGAGCAGGGAGATCACTCATCTTTGAGAGACTGGGAAGAACAGGAGACTAAGATGAACAAATATCATTTCACCTTTCAGAAAGGAGGAGTGGGAGGGCTCTGCATATTTCCCCCAGGCAGCTAGATGTCAAATTCTTAGAAACTTAGCATCATTTTGCAAATAAGTAAAAAAAGAATGTGATGTTCAATAAGAATCAAATGAAGATTAACTAAGGAAATATATGCTGTGTTAAATCATTTTGTTCTTTGCAGGATTGCTAGGTTGGTTAGAAATTTGAATGCTAAGTATATAGTTTATATCAACTTCAGTATGAGTACATTTCCCCCATGATATTTGAACTGATGAATGCAGTCAGGACGACATTACTAGTCAGATGACTTTGAAATAGGTAAGTATACTGTTTTGAACAGAATAAGCACCAAAAATGATGAAGAGTTAACTGAATTACTGAAAACTCATTTATTTATAGCTCTTCCTCATGCTATTGATAAAACTAGGTCTTCAGTAGCCTGTCACAGTGCTTCACTTCTAACTACTCTTACTGAGCACTTTTGTAAGTGATGGAAGGAAAGATGAGTCTGATGTTTGCCTAAAAACAAGGAATCTTTACCTGTCTAGCAAGGAAGATAAATTCAGGGCTTTAACAGAAAAAAAAAAAAAACAGTAGAGAGAGAAAACTAATAGATGGAGTCAGAAGACATGGATTTTGGCTCTATTCTTCCCATAACTTGTGGTGCCTTTGAGTAAAATCACTGTACCCTTTTATCACCGTGGTTTCATGTGTAAAATAGGCTGGAAAAAGCATATTTGTTAGTTACTTTCTGATTATGACATTCTATATGTTAAAAACATGAATAAATATCCACCTTGAGAATATTATTTCATCTATTTAGTTTAATATGGTAAATCACGGTATGGCCTTTGTAATGAGGGGTGAAAAAAGAAATAATAAAGAGAAAAAATAGTCTGCATATTTTAGACAAGTTATTATTTGTCCTTTAGTCAGGAGAGGCCCTAGATGTGGCAGAAGAGGTTGAGTTAACAGGATTAATAAGCCCTGGAGGTAGAGAATAAGGGGGTAAAAAGAATGTCCTTCTTAGACAGATGAGAACCTCTCTAAGCCTCAGCTTCCTAATCTACCAAATAGGAAGACTAAGAAGCATTCCACTTACTTCAAAGACTATGAAGACTGAATGACTTACTTACTAGTAATGCTTTAAATAAATATACAGCCTTATTAATAAGTCTATAGCATTGTGATGGGACCTATAACCAAATTATTACTCAGTATTTCTGTCATTTAGTAGATGGCAAGTTGGTTGTAATTGTTTATTTTCTCTACAAATAAACTTTTTGTTATAAAAGCACAAAACAAGTTTTCCAGACCACATAAGCTGGGATATATATTCCTACAAGTATGAACGTACTTATTTCAAATCAGTATGAAATCAGGAAGTTCAGGATATTGGTCATTGTAGCTTAATGCTACTTCATACTTTCTGGCTGTCATTTTACCTAGCAAGCAAAACCATTTCCTCATTGTGCTGAAGTCCTTGGGTAAGAGCTAATGAATTTTCTGAAAAAAAAAAATACTGTATAGAGAAGCAATATAGCATAGTGGTTAAAAATTCAAACCCCAGTTCTACTAAATATTAGCTATATAACCTCTGTACCTCAGTTTTCCTTATCAGTAAAATGGGGATAATAATAGTGCTTAACCTCACAAAGCAGTAAAGATTACTGAGTGGATATATACAAGTATGTGTGTTACATGTCTGTGTTTATGCACTCACAAATAAGTGAGATATCTCTACCTGTTTATCACTTAGAAACAGTGCCTGGCATATAGTAAGTGCTAGATATCATTATGTTTAAAAGATATTTTTGATGCAAGCCATCCCTAGTTCCCACTAGCAGGCAGAGGGAAAATCTGAATTTGGTAAAAGATCAACAATGTATTTGGTCCTTCGATATGCTAGGTTGAGCTGGACCCCTCTCTTCAGTTTTTGCTGCTTTCTCCTAGGACGTCTAAGGAAGGCCTAGAGGCTGGAAAGTTCAGATATTTCTACAGACGGAAAGAAGGAAGGAAGGGAGGGAGGGAGGGAAGGGAGGAAGGAAGGAAAGAAAGAAGACGGAGTGAGAGAAATGTGAAGAGAGATGAAAATTGTGGATATGGAGCAGATAATTTAAGAGAAGAAAAATAAACATGTATCTCAATGGAGCACAGGCAATCAGTCTGAAGACTAATTGGGATAAGTCTGGCACTCACTGATACAGGAATGAGATAGAAAAGAGGTTTATAGGTATCCTGAGGATTTTGTTTTATTTAAGATAATTTGGTTCTCAGTACCACCCTTAGGGTATATTAATGGCTTCATCAATTGGAGGTTCTCCCCGCCACCCCTTAAAAAAAAATTGAACACCTCTGGTGCAGGTCTAGGGGATAAAAGCATCATTCCTTTCTGAGGAAATCCACTGTGCCTCATGACACTCACTCCTAGAAGTCATGCAGCTAAATTATAGGGAAAGTCACAGATAAAAATGTGTGTGTATATACACACATACATACACACACACACATATATATGAGATAGCACAGTTATCAACAAAAAGACTAGGGACATCTGAGAATACACACTAACCTCTGAAGTCAATATCATTAGAAATATGAGTCCTCCTTCCAAATGTTCTTTGATTAGTGAATTGAAACTGACTTCTCAGAGTTCCTATATTGTACAATATTATAAAGAACCCCTTGTCTAAGGTAGAGTTAAAACCTACTGCTGAGGAAAACTAGCCAAGAAATAAACAATCCAGTACAAAACTAGATGCAGCTCAGCCCAGTGGTTAGCATACTGGTAAGGAAAGGAAGGTCAACCTTCAAGAGAACAAAATGTCAAAACTGTTGGTTATAGAAGAGAATTTGATTCAGAAATAGGGAAGGAGATTGCTGCACTAGAGACAAAAAGGTCAGTGACATCTTTCTCTATTTTCCCTTTTGTAAACAAAACAAAACAAAACAAACAACCAAAAAGCTTGGAGGGAAAAAAATTCTCAAATAGAATTGATATTTACTGAAGAAAATTCTTGATTCTGCCCTTGTCTGGCTAGTTCTGTGACCAGGGGAAAACTACTTTACTTCAATTACTTCATATGTAAAATGAAGTGTGTATGTATGTGTACATGTGTGTGTGGTTTCTCTAGCTTGTCTCTAAAATCTCTTCTAGTTCTAGCATGCTGTGGTTTCTCTTCAAAACTGATAACAAAGAAGGCAGTAATAGAAATGCCACTTTAAATTGAAACACTGCAGTCACAGCTTTGACATCAAGACATCAACCAAAGGGGAAGAGCTGAGGGAGGGAAGGTGGGAGGGGGCAAGGGAAAGGGGGGGGGAAGGCAGAGACAAATGTATTTAAAAAGTAAATAAATTAATAAAAAAAAAAAAAAAAAAAGACATCCGAAGTTCTGACAGTGTAGCACTAGTCTCAGGATAATTGTGATACGATGTTAAGGTACTATTACAACCTGGAAAGCTTGAGTAGAAAGTAGAAGGCTACTTGAAATTCCACAAAACCACATGCACACAGTCACCCTCTGGTTGCAGCACACTTAAATTGCAGACTCTAAGGCATAAAGTGGACAGAACAAATATCATTGTCACTAAACTATGACCAAGGGTCAATGCTCTGTTTCTTAGGCTGTAATTTTTCTAGTACCTGAATGTCCTGTAGGACTCCTTCTGTGTAGGTGTTCATCTGACTTATCCCTGAAGAACATTGCTTTGAAAAATATCCAAATTAGAGAGCCACTTTGTTAATAATTTACTAATTATCAGACAGCCAATGAAACCCAGTCTCACTTCAAGCCATCACAAGCCAATAATTGCCAGAACTAGGTAAAATTATGGGGTGAGGGGGCTTGATAGAAGCAACCACATGGTTTTTCCTTCTGTTCTCCATTTTGGTTCCCCTTTACCATCTGATTATCTATAGTCTAACACAGCAGTTTTCAACCATTTTCTTCTCATGGCACATATAAACTAATTACTAAAAGTCTGTGGCACACCAAAAAATATATTATATTTTCCAATATGATAAAAAAATAGGTATAATTTTGATTCAATCACACCAGATGGCTATTGTTGTATTGGCTGTTGTCATTTTTTATTTGACAATCTAAGAGGAAAAGAGGTCAGTGTCCCTGACTAAAGTAAGGTATAACATGTTTTAAAAATTCTTGTGGACACACTGGTTGAAAATCACTGGTCCAGCATGTTAGCACTGCACCTTCTCCATCAACTCACCTGCTCTCCAGAAAGAATCTCATGTTTCAGCCACTTCCAGACCTCTCTTCTCGATGAAATGCACCTGTATGGTGACCCATTTGCACAAGGTTCTGCTCTCTGCTTGGCAATGGTTACTTGGTTCATGCTGACATATACACTTAGATGGCTTGATATGTTATTATTCTCAGAGAAAATATGGTTGTGGCCAGAAATCCTACATCCAAAAGAATGGGCCTAATTTGAGAATTTCCAGAACCTTGGCAGGGGTAGAGTTAAGGGAGCATTTCAATGCCCTATATAAGGTTAGCTCTAATAGTGAAGCCAGTGAGTTCAGGAGGGGCTAGCCCATGGACCCTATTTCGCTTGCACAGTGAGACAGCCTGAGTAAAGGGCAACTGGAAAGGCAGGAAGCAGGGCACAAAGGAGGGAGAAACTAGGAGGT